GAAGAACACCATCCTCTCTAAAGCTTCAAAGTCTGCTGGGATCACTCTCTCACAGTTCAAAACAAACATCCAGGACCTGTGGACTGCACTGCTGACTGAAAGTTTTGTTTTCAGCTTTAAAAACACACTTGAAATTGCAGTGTACAGAAAACTGGAAGTCCAGTATGGGAGCTGGATCTGGACCCTGAGGAGCGACATGTTGACCATTGAAAACCAACTTCATAACAGAATTGAAAATAGAACACTTGATGAGGTTGAACAGTCTTATCTTTTTAAAGAAACACGTAAAACATATGAAGAAGTCAGAAAAGAAATGACAAAGTACTTTGAAGATGACAGAGAGAAAGAGATCTTGGTTCAGTGGAGAGGAAGATTTGAAATCAAAATGAAAGACTTTCATTATGAACAGGTGAGCAGAGTGAAAAGAAAACTGGATGGAGTCATCCGGCAGAAGAAAACTTGTAAAAAAACTGGATGAGGAAAAAATCAGAGTTTGAGAACAAACTGCTACAGAAGAGCAAAGAGCTCACTCAGAAACTGAAGGATAAGGCCAAAGATGAAGAAGAGCTCCAACGACAGTTCGGCTCTGTTTGGAGCAGCTGGGTTGCTGAATTAACAGCAGATACAAAACCTGTTAAAGAAATTAACTTGAAAAAAGATCAGTTAATTATCCTTCAAGAACTTCGTTTTGGGCCAAGTCTCATAGATGAATGTAAAAGAAGTGGCAGATACAAGAAAATATCAGAGGTTGGTGATTATTCTGTTTATATGATGACAAGTAGTAATCAGTTGATTAGTTTTATACAAAAACATATTTCAAGTGGTTTCTCCCAGGAAGAACAACAGATCAGATTGCTCATTGTCCAAGCTGAAAAAGACTCACTTGATGCAATCAAAAGTAAACCTGTAGCTGCAACAGGCTACACACCAACATATTTGCATGAAATAGCAAATCATATGACAGAAAATGTTCAGAAGTTTATGTCATGGAGGAAATACACCTTGAGGAAGGAGTTTAGAGTTGATCTCTTGCTGTATGTGTTCTGCAGGGCAGAAAGTTGGCTTCTAGAGTCGCACAAGAAATTTAAAATGAGCAATGATCCAATCACTTATTTGGGAAGCAAGAAAACACAATATTACACAGTTTTTAGAAGCTTTTGTAAAGAAAACTCATCTGTTGTTGTGCTTGGAGAACTGGTCTGTGAAAAGTTGAAAGCTTCCAGTATTGAGGCTGTTTATAAAAAGACTGCCATTGATCTCGCTGGAAGGATGAGGTGTAATCTCCCAGCATTCAGTGGGAACAGACTGAACTTGGAGAAACATGTGTTGAAGTCACTCGCTGAGAAAGAAAACTTTGATGATGTCATCCTGTACATCACAAATCCAAGGAGACAAACAGAAGCTTACATCAAAGCAGAGGTTGAGAAGTACATCTTCAGAGATCACAAAGATGAAGCTGTGAATATACTCAAGAAAAATGTTGATGACATCAAAACAACTGTGGGTTGCGCTTTATTTACTGCAACACAAAATGTCCATACTCAAAAGGGAGACAGAGAAATGTGGCTTAAAGAATGTTCTAATGTCCTAAAGGATGAGCTGACATTTGACATTTGTTCTGAAAACTTCAGTGACATAAAAGATTTTCACTTTCTCAAGGAAGAGATAGAAAAAGGATTTAAATCCATCACTGAGAAGATGAGCAGCCTGTCACCGTATAAGCTGAAGGAATCCAGGCAGAAGCCTGAAGAAATCCTCATAGATCAGCTTTGTAACTGCTGCTGGGTAAAGTGTCCATTCTGTGCAGCTGTTT